ATTGATAGTACGCGCGTCCACTTTATTTTGATATTAACGTAATACAAACCAGTTCGTACAATTGAAGAATTCGCCCGAAATGGCGAGCTGTTTCTCTTGTGACTGGATATTATTTGATAAAATGAAGCACATGGTTGATCTCTATCAAGTATCGTTATGTGCAAAGTAGGTTTGAGGTTTTTCAAACTGAAACAGGCCAATATAGACTAAGAATCGATGCTTATAATTTTTAGGTAAAGATGCAGACTCTACTTTCAAAAACCTGAGTAAAAAATATTTAAGAAACAAGAAGAAAGTACAGTGTTAACGTCAGTGGAGCGGATACACAATCTGTCATAGATGCCAAAAGTGAAACAAGCGACATGTGCATGTTTTTGGCCTGGCTGGATTCATATGTTCAACTCCGTCGATCTTCAAGTAATCTTATAGTGATAGATGAAACCTCACAACTAGATGATGCTGGTATTGAAGATGAAGGTATATGCACTCCAGTAGACAGCAGCTCCGGTAGAAGCGTCACCCCAGACCCTAGCTTTGAGCCACAGTCATTAAAGTCTAAAGTAACTGGTCGGCCAAAATACCTCCCATGCCAAACGCCCGAGAGTAAATAATGAAGCTATTGAAGGAGCTGAAATGGATTTTCTCAACTCTATTGGAAATCACCTTGTAAGTAGAGACAGTCAAGAGAACAAAAAGATGAAGAACGCCTTTTGGAGAACTGGTTGCTGCCCAACTGAGAAAGATGCCAACTGAGAAAGATGCCAACACAAGAAAGACTGACGACCAGGATGGAAATAAACAATTTGATTTTTTCACGTTTATCAAAGAGTAATTCTCAAGATGTTAATCCTGTTAGCTATGTAGCTTCTAGGTACCCTGAAACTGCTAGGAGTGACACCGCGGAAATACGTTTTTTAGGGTACGATACAGTATTTTACTAGTCAGCGGACACCTCAACGAAACCATGAAAGGCCGATAACTTTTACAATGTTTTTCGCCGTCAGTCAAATCGACAGCGTAAAAGGTCAAAACTTAGAAATAATACAGTAAACTTAGCTTTGAAACTCGGCTCACCTTTTGGATAGTTCTTAAGCTCAATTATATAATTTGCCAAAGCCGAACTGAAGTTGCACACGATATGAAATTGTTGTTTTTCGCTGGCGGCTCCGCGGCAACTAAGTTTTGTTTATAAAAGAGCTTATGTACCAAGGCTAAAAATGAGACGATTTTTGAATGGTTGAAGCGGTGATCCGAGGACGCTGCACTATCAGGTTTGTAAAGCAGTGGCTTGAACCGTATAAATCGGCATGTCAACGACTTTTCGGTCAGATTCGCCGAAAAGAAGACAAAACATGCCCTTGTAGCACGGCCACCCTATCCCCACTCGTTACTGTATGTATCATAGTTGGCCAAAAAACCTACGACTGTAACATGCAAAGGACTGAAGCCCCCAAAAGTAGAAAGACTGGCTCAACTAGAGGAAGAATAAACCGAGGTATGCTTTAAGTACAAAATGTCCATTATAATGATAACAAAGAAGTTTTCACTTTCCACCTTAGTCTGTAATTTTTTTTCTGAGAAGCTGTAATTTTATTTCTGAGCAATAGTTTTACTTTCCCAACAAGTATTTCTCATTACAATTATGAATAATTTGTAGTATGCCTTTTTTTAAGCTGCTTTTCCCTCACTAATCATTTTATTTTATTTATTTTTGCTTTTTCTTTTCTTTCTTTACTAACTTAATGCCATCTGCAACATAAAATGTACTGAGCTAACAGAATACTTCTGCTTTATTTATGAGG